CTTACATAAAAGATAACATGTTTTGTAAGAAGCTGAAGACTTTTCCGTATGATTTGTTCACAACATAACAAATGTTGGACAATTGGACAAACTGAGCTAGAGGAGTTTACTTTTACAAGTCAGTCATAAGGAGCATGAGAGCACTTCCCTTTGGGGGTTCATTGAGCTAATATATGTATATAAAGTTTTCTGATCCAAAACATGAAATCCACAATAGTAGTTTATCATGTTTCTCCTGAAAGAAGTCATTTGTTTGACTCTATGATCTGTTGTTGGTGAATCCACGACTTTTTAAAGAACCCCGACGCGACTTCTGTGTGTATTAGAGCAATACACAAGCACATTGAATTGAATTTAGCTACACTTTCATGAACAAAAGACTGAGTCTCGGTTGATACAAAAGTTGATATCAAACATCAAACTCCTTCCAAACTGCCAAAAAGTCCAAAGAGAGTTGGTTAATGTGCTGACCCCGGTGCCCCCCTCCCCACGGTGCTCCCCCACCCCTTTCCTTGGTGTACCTCTCTGTAACGTCGTCATTACACACATTCAATTATTAACCTGCAAATCAAAAAGAGCCGCTCGCGCTCGTCTTCTTTCTCTGTGTTTCTTGCCTGCTCGGTTCCTGTGATCCCGGGCAGCCATTACTTATTAAAGACCTTTCGGCTGTTCAGACACTCTCCGCTAATGACGTGCTCTTCCTGTTTGCACCATCTTGGGCTTTTACACCGAGGGAGTCGAGGAAGCGGCTGAAAAAATGACTATTTATTGGCTCAGACGGAATAATTATCATAAAAGGATATTAATTAAACCAGTATTTGAATGAGGTGTTTACTCAGCCGCAGCGGTTTGTATTGGATCTTATTAAGGGTAATGTTTCCAACGGCAGAAGACGAGAACTTACGCAACATGCGCCGGATTCTGTCCCTATCGTCACACACACTGTATACACATTTAGACACACCATATACACACCTTATACAAACCATACACACACACACACACACACACACACACACACACACACACACACATGCACACACACCTTTTACATACTTATGAACAGCTTATGCACACAGAGCGGCTGGAGTACAACAGTAACACAAAAGGAAAGAAATCTTGTTTTTTTGGAAACTTTGGAAAAACATGTTCAAAGCAACAGTGGTAAAGCATTGGCTTTGGGCCTGAAGGTCGTGGGTTCAGGTCTCCCACCATGAGACCTGAGACCTACTTCACTGATGTCTGCTGCCGTTGTGTCCTTGGGCAAGACACTTAACTCCACTTTGCCTGAAGTCCACACCGAAAGATCAAGACTTGTGTGGACTCACCACTTGCAGGAGGATCATTAAGGGGCTGGTGGAAAAACATGTTCATTGATGTCCAATATTTCTACACTAATATATTTTAAGTTCAGTAACACAACAAAAAATGACAAACAAGTGTAGAAATATGTTGGCAATCTTCACACAGAAGCCCTGTGTCGAGACATTGAAACATTGTGAAAAATAGTCTTTGAGATTTTAATGAAGTTAGAACGTTGTTCTGTGTGGTGTTGTTATTACTATGTGGTGCTTGGTTTAAAACTAAACACACACTTGTTTGTCCCTTGACAAAGCGTGTTTTTATTTTTTATTTTTACATAGAGCCTTTAAGAGATGTTGACTGAGAGTGTGACATCACCCTAGTGTTAGCCTCAATGCAGAAGAAGCTGGCTTGAACATGAGCGACCTCTTATATGAGCATGTGATGCCAATAGCTTTGCGGGGTTACTGGGGCAAATGTGTTGCTAAGACGGTTGCTAAGTTCCCTCCGCAAATGGTCTGATTGGTTGATATGGCTCATATCTGGATTAACATCAACAATATAACAATATAAACACCAGGATCACAGCGCGCTAACCTGTTATGGTTGTGTGTTGGACCCCAAAGCAGAGACAGAGACTGAGCACATTTCAAGGAATGGATTTACTAGCAAAAATTAAATACAAAAACATAAGGCAGGCAGTGGAGACGGGGAGCTGGCTGGTCTGGAAGAGGGAGACCTGAACACAGAACACAAAAAACCATAAGTAAAAACCACAAAAGAAAATACTCACACTGCTGCTGTACACTGACTTGTAACTTTGAAATAATCTGGCAGAGAAGTGAGGTCTGTACCAGAGTCTGAAGCGGAGTTGATGAGAAAATGGAACAGGTGTGAGTCAAACAGAAGCAGAGCCAGCCTCGCCCAGTCACACAAATGTCCTGCAAAACAGAAAGGGAAGAGGGAGGCAGAGCAAAAACACAACACTAACCTTCATAGTTAAGCCCAAAATGGATAGTGTGACACAAACGGGTACTGAGCTGGGGGAGTTTACTATGACATGTAAGTCAATAGGGCAAGTGGAGCCAAACTTCACCGTGAGCACGACCCTATTCTTGGCTTGCAGTCATGTGACACATCAACTTCCGGTTAATCAAGTGGCCAACAAAAATTGCTGCTGATATGCAAAGAAAATGCGTCTCTTCTTCCGAGTATTTTTGTGCTTTTTGGATATTTCATGACACTTTCCTGACTCCTCATTCTAAGAATATGCACAAGGCAGTATTTTTCCATATGTTTTGGTAATATCAAGGTTGAAGCTACTAGGTCTCCGTTCCTCCATGCTGTATGATATTACTGTGGGCGACAGTAGCTCAGTTGTAGAGCATTGGCCTTTGAGGGTTGTGGGTTCGAGCCCGACCTTCACCATCGACTCCCACTGTCTGCTGTCGTTGTGTCCTTGGCAAGACACTTAACCTCTGGGAACAGCAAGTGCCACAGTGGGGCGGCTGTGGCTGTAAAGTGCCAAACTGCTGTTGTGTCCTTAGGCAAGACACTTCACCCCCATTGCCTAGAATGAGTCTGGTGTGTGTGTGAATGGTGGTGCTGGTCGGAGGGGCCGATGGCACAGACTGGTTCCCTCGCTTCTGTCAGTGTGCCCCAGGGCAGCTGTGGCTACAGTAGTAGTTTATCACCACCGTGTATGGAGTGAATGAATAATGACACATGTGAAGCGTCTTTGAGTGTCCAAAAAAAGCACAATATAATTATTATTATTATCACTTGCATTCTGTAACGTCTTTGTACGTGCTGTCTCTACCATCGACAATAAAACATGTCTTTTGTCTGATTTAAAGACACGATCCTAGACTGTCATTTTCTTCACTTTAGATCGAGATTGATACATCAAAAAAGTCAAATTGTGTAACGGTGTAGATCCTAATATGATCCCAATGCGTTTTCCGTGAATAATTTGATTTGCGAGTTAGAAAAATATTTGCCAGTTCAGTTCCCGGATATCTCAAACTGTGATTACAATCAAGCTTTTGCACTGCTAAACAAATGTTTGTAAAAACATGGATGCCTACAACTTTTTTGTTCATGGGAGGGTTAAGGAACTCAGAGTTAAGGCTCAAATCCTGCATCGTAAAGAGCCGTGTGAGTAACGATTGTATGAACTTGTCATTCTCAACAAAACGATGCACCAACATGTGTGCTGTGTTCTTTTCAGGTCAAACATTCAGTGTTCATCTAAAACGCCAACTTATACTGAAAGTTAATACAAATAATTATTATACGGCTCCTCACAGCAGCAGTAGAACGCTCCATTGATTTGAATGTAATTTCAAAACGTTCTACCGGTCATTATTTTCTATAACGGACCTCTCAAAACAATAATGACCACTGCCCTTTGGCAACGCACTCTCTGCTTGTCTTTCAAATGCGTGGATAACTCTGACAGTAGTTCCGGCCACTCCTGAGCTCGCCACGCTCAATCAACACACTTAAATGTTAATCGGAGAATACTTATACATATACATTCTTCACACACGTGCACGGAGAGTTTCAGAATTTTCTGGTCTTGTCTTCATGACAAAAATACTATTTCTCTGCGTCAAAAAGCGATCGTGAAAAACCCGGAAGTAGTTCCGGCCGCTCAATAAACGCAAATGCCAATCAATCAACGCAATGAAATGTTAATCGGAGAGTAATTTATACATATCCAGTCTTAATACAAGTGCACGGAAGTTTTCAGAATTTTCCGTTTACATTTTCATGACAAAAACACTGATGTAATGCGAGAAAAGGCGATCCCGAAAAATCTGGAAGTAGATACGGCACATTTTCAGACACATTTGCAGAGGATCGAATTATGGATTTAGGTTAAGTTTATGTTTGGGTCACTCACCGCTGATGTTCAGAATTCTTTGTTCAGTTTTCATGCAGTTCCACAGAGTTCTAGTTTGGAAGTTGTTAGCCTAACTGTTGCTAGCATAGCCACGGGAAAGCCTTTGGGAACTATTTCATTTTCTGCGCGTCGGGGTCCGTTTCGCCCTGTCGGTACTTATTTTCCGATAATGACCTGCGTAATATACGTTATCCCTTACTTAATAACTGCGCATTGTGACTGCATGGCTGGGTAAATAAATAATCCTTAGATGTAAAAGCCACTTTTCCTGCGTCTTTTTGTAAAGTCCTTAGTGCGAGGCTCTTTATTAATCCCTTCACGAGGAACCCTAAAGTATCCTTTATCGGTTTAGAACAACCTAAAACAACACATGCAAAAGGCATATTCAGACACGCTGCTAGCTCGGCTGACCACCACTTCATGATACGCATAAGTAATGAGGCGGGCGTGACGTCAATTGCAAGCAAGCAATTGAGCTTCATTGAGCTAGCAAGTCAGCATTGCATTATCAGGTCTGCACTGACTTTCTGTATACAGCCTGTGATTTGGAGCCTAATAAACCAGGATTTACTCCTGTAAAGTTCAAAACCTTCACTTGTTTCAAACTGTTCTGCCGCTTTAATGCATAGTTGCACCACAGGCTCCATCACCAAACAGGGATTAATGAGGAAAACATGACAACCTGTCATATACATTGTAAATCTCTGTGGATCACAGTTTGGATGTGATGCGAGACAGTGAGAAACTCAACAAGTTTACATTAAAGATCGTGACATAAGACAAAAACAGAATGCAGGTGAAGGATTCTGCGTTCTGTAAGAAATATGGTATTTTCATTGTATCGCCAAAATATGAGAATTTTCATCATTTCCTTATAGTATGTTTTCATGTGACATCACAACTACACAAAAACTCCAAAGAGCAGAGCGTTTCACATTGTAGTGAAGCACAGCTGAAACATCTCTCCTGGTAACTATGGTAACGGTCAAAAGTCAGATTTTAGTCTAAGTTTGTTTCTAATTTCTCTGTAACTACTGGATAGTGCCAGTAGCAACAAACACACACAGTCCCACAAAGTCCAAGTCTTCTCTCTCTGGTCTCTCTCTCTGGTCTCTCTCTTTGGTTTCTCTGGTCTCTCTCTCTGGTCTCTCTCTGGTCTCTCTCTGGTCTCTCTCTGGTCTCTCTCTGGTCTCTCTCTGGTCTCTCGCTGGTCTCTCTCTCTGGTCTCTCTCTGGTCTCTCTCTGGTCTCTCTCTGGTCTCTCTCTGGTCTCTCTCTCTCTCTCTGGTCTCTCTCTCTGGTCTCTCTCTTTGGTTTCTCTGGTCTCTCTCTCTGGTCCATCTCTTTGGTTTCTCTGGTCTCTCTCTCTGGTCTCTCTCTCTGGTCTCTCTCTGGTCTCTCTCTCTGGTCTCTCTCTCTGGTCCATCTCTCTGGTTTCTCTGGTCTCTCTCCTGATCACTGACCTCCTAAGCACCAGTTCAATTAAAGAAAGAAAACCAGCAGTAAGATCTGAGCTGCTATAGCTGAGGAATATGCAGCACTTAATGCTCATAGTAACAGTGTGGAGGCCCCGTTCCTCAGTGTGGAGGCCCCTGTTCCTCAGTGTGGAGGCCCCTGTTCCTCAGTGTGGAGGCCCCTGCCTCTCGGCTTGGGGACACTCAGTCCCCTGTCCCTAACCCTCAGGGACAGGAGGCAGTGCCGCGGAGGGAGGGCTCAGCAGGAGAACAAGGAGCTGATGAAATGGAGATTGGGTAATGTAGACCCGCGGCTCTGCCACATGTTCCACACTTCTTCTTCTGGATTCATGATGTTAAACTTTCTCTGATCTTCTGGATTCATAGGTTTGAATGTTGAGCTACTCTGATGAGTGTAGCGATATATCGATATTGTGATGTATCGTGATACTTACTCACGCGGTCGATTATCGATATGCTTTTGCCAAGAATCTATTTTAAAAAATATATATATATACTGTATATATTTTTTTATTAGTATCAATACTTAATATGTGGCTACAATACGCATCTCTACTCCATTTATCATGACATAAAGTGCATTTTTCCAGTACATGTTTCCTTGATTTATGCCAATATGTGCTGTATTTGAATCCAGAGTTGAGAATTAGTTAATAACTTACACTTATAACTATTTTGTGTTTATTCAGATTGCTTTAATAAAAGATTTCTATAACAGTATATTTCTGACTAATACAGTATATCGATTATCGTGATATAATCGTTATCGTGAGCTTTATATCGCGTATCGTATCGTACGGTACCCTGAGGTTCTACCCACCTTAGGAGAGACACACCCACTCCCACCCCTCTTACAAATCACCCTCACCCAAAGGAAACCAGCCCTGAACCTGAGCCGAGCTCTGACCTGACCCCGCCTCAGATCAGACTAGAGCTGACGATGTGCAGCACTTTCCAACTCCATCCAAAAGCATCAGGCATGGATTATTCATACTTCTGTATCAGAGCGTGTTCCGCCGAAACACGCCTCCACGTGACGCGTCACGTGTCTCACATTTATAATACACGCCGCGCGGAGACGGAGATGAAAAGTTGATGCTGTTTACTTGTGCCTCGTGCGCCGCGAGCGCAGCCGCACGCGCACTTCAAAGAGCACATTGTTAAATCATGATGGAGATGATGACACGCGCGCACTGAGCACGCCCCCGCGCCCCCCGCGCCCCCCGGCAGCGACACCTTGACCTGGAAAACTCTGTCACTCAGCAAAGAGCCCACCCAGAGCAGCCCACTCCCTCTGGTCTCTCCCTCTGGTCTCTCTCTGGTTTCTCTCTCTGGTTTCTCTCTCTGGTTTCTCTCTCTGGTTTCTCTCTCTGGTCTCTCTCTGGTCTCTCTCTCTGGTTTCTCTCTGTGGTTTCTCTCTGGTCTCTCTCTCTCTGGTCTCTCTCTGGTCTCTCTCTCTGGTTTCTCTCTGTGGTTTCTCTCTGTGGTTTCTCTCTCTGGTTTCTCTCTCTGGTTTCTCTCTCTGGTTTCTCTCTCTGGTCTCTCTCTCTGGTTTCTCTCTCTGGTTTCTCTCTCTGGTTTCTCTCTCTGGTCTCTCTCTGGTCTCTCTCTCTGGTCTCTCTCTCTGGTTTCTCTCTCTGGTTTCTCTCTCTGGTCTCTCTCTCTGGTCTCTCTCTGGTCTCTCTCTGGTCTCTCTCTCTGGTCTCTCTCTCTGGTTTCTCTCTCTGGTTTCTCTCTCTGGTCTCTCTCTGGTCTCTCTCTCTGGTTTCTCTCTGTGGTTTCTCTCTGGTCTCTCTCTGGTTTCTCTCTGTGGTTTCTCTCTGGTCTCTCTCTCTGGTCTCTCTCTCTGGTTTCTCTCTGTGGTTTCTCTCTGGTCTCTCTCTCTGGTTTCTCTCTGTGGCTTCTCTCTGTGGTTTCTCTCTCTGGTTTCTCTCTCTGGTTTCTCTCTCTGGTCTCTCTCTCTGGTTTCTCTCTGTGGTTTCTCTCTAGTCTCTCTCTCTGGTCTCCCTCTGGTCTCTCTCTGGTTTCTCTCTCTGGTTTCTCTCTCTGGTTTCTCTCTCTGGTTTCTCTCTCTGGTCTCTCTCTGGTCTCTCTCTCTGGTTTCTCTCTGTGGTTTCTCTCTGGTGTCTCTCTCTGGTCTCCCTCTGGTCTCTCTCTGGTTTCTCTCTCTGGTTTCTCTCTCTGGTCTCTCTCTGGTCTCTCTCTCTGGTTTCTCTCTGTGGTTTCTCTCTGGTAACTCTCTCTGGTCTCTCTCTGGTCTCTCTCTCTGGTTTCTCTCTGTGGTTTCTCTCTCTGGTTTCTCTCTCTGGTTTCTCTCTCTGGTCTCTCTCTCTGGTTTCTCTCTCTCTGGTCTCTCTCTCTGGTTTCTCTCTCTGGTTTCTCTCTCTGGTTTCTCTCTCTGGTTTCTCTCTCTGGTCTCTCTCTCTGGTTTCTCTCTCTGGTTTCTCTCTCTGGTTTCTCTCTCTGGTCTCTCTCTCTGGTTTCTCTCTGTGGTTTCTCTCTGGTCTCTCTCTCTGGTCTCCCTCTGGTCTCTCTCTGGTTTCTCTCTCTGGTTTCTCTCTCTGGTCTCTCTCTGGTCTCTCTCTCTGGTTTCTCTCTGTGGTTTCTCTCTCTGGTTTCTCTCTGTGGTTTCTCTCTCTGGTTTCTCTCTCTGATCTCGCTCTGTTCTCTCTCTCTAACTTCTCGGCTCCCCCCCCTTTCTCTGGTATCTTTCTCTGGTCTCTTGCCGGTCTCTCTCTCTCTCTCTGGTCTCTCTCTCTGGTTTCTCTCTGTGGTTTCTCTCTGTGGTTTCTCTCTCTGGTTTCTCTCTCTGGTTTCTCTCTCTGGTTTCTCTCTCTGGTCTCTCTCTCTGGTCTCTCTCTGGTTTTCTCTCTGGTTTCTCTCTCTGGTTTCTCCTCTGGTTTCTCTCTCTGGTTTCTCTCTCTGGTCTCTCTCTCTGGTCTCTCTCTCTGGTCTCTCTCTCTGGTTTCTCTCTCTGGTTCTCTCTCTGGTTCTCTCTCTGGTTTCTCTCTCTGGTTCTCTTCTCTGGTCTCTCTCTCTGGTTTCTCTCTGTGGTTTCTCTCTCTGGTTTCTCTCTGTGGTCTCTCTCTCTGGTTTCTCTCTCTGGTCTCTCTCTGGTTTCTCTCTCTGGTTTCTCTCTCTGGTCTCTCTCTGGTCTCTCTCTCTGGTTTCTCTCTGTGGTTTCTCTCTCTGGTTTCTCTCTGTGGTTTCTCTCTCTGGTTTCTCTCTCTGATCTCGCTCTGTTCTCTCTCTCTAACTTCTCGGCTCCCCCCCTTTCTCTGGTATCTTTCTCTGGTCTCTTGCCGGTCTCTCTCTCTATCTCTGGTCTCTTTCTGTCGCTCTGTTACTGCTCTCTCCCTCTCTCTCTGATTGACAACATGTGTTGTCGGCAGAACATATGAACAAAATTGCAGGGGTGAAACGTTATGCATGGGACTGACTTTTCAAATAATTCATATATTTTGAATGTCTGTTTTTACCAATGATCAGAACACATAATTGTAATTATTGATTACCGCTCTCTAACGTCCAGTTTTGGATCAGTCTCTCTGTTTGGAATGTTTAAAAAAGCTTCTTTTATTTTGACCCAATCTAAAAAAAGAAAAAAAAGTGGATCCAGTGACGAGAGCACAACCGTCTGTTGCTGCTCCCTCGACCATCCCCTCTCCATCTTAATGTGGTCCCAGACCTCAACTGATCTTGATTTTGCTCCAAAAGATTTATATATTACAAATGTAAAAAAATAAAAATACAATATATATATATATGTATATATATCCTCCTTTGTTTTGAGATATTTGTATTGTGTTAAAAACAATAAAAGGCCTAAAATAATTTTAGCTGTGTCATTTATTTATTTGTTCATTAAAAGTTAATGAAGTCCATAGAGGTCGAATACATTTGCAAAATAAATTATAGAGGTGAAAAAAAACAAACTATACAAGTTTGTGCGTGTGCGTGGGATTTTATTATTATAAGCTTTTAGCTACCTAACCATGTAAGCCATGTTTATATATATATTTATTATGTTTAGACTAATTATTATTTTATCTTGTGCATTTAAAAAAATAATTAAGAAATAATAAAATAAGCTGATCTGAAGTGATATGAGGCTTATGAAGCGAAGACAAAGAGAATAAGGAATGTTTGTTTCAGGCCTTTTGCTTTGTGTGAGCGAAGTGGATGGAGTTGATTCAAGCTACAACTCCGCCCTCTGCTGGCTACGTTTGAAACAGCAGAACACAGCTATTGGCTATATGAATGTGTTAAAACAGTTTTTTTTGCTTTATGTATTACGTGTCCCGTTAATTTGAGTTTGTGTCCTTCAAGGAGAATCTATGCGTATGTGTGAGGAAACACTGTCAAACAAACAACATTTAAATATTTCAAACAAAAAAGACAAACAAATTTGAAAACAGAAAAAAAAATCGAAATAAATACTAAAGACCATATTAAAACCAAAAAACTATTTTAAAATGTATTTTTGTATACATATAACCTACTGTATTTTCTTTTGGGAAATCGTATGCAGTGCTCGTCACCTCCAGCAGAGGGTGGTAGACACACACTACGCTGGTGTGGAGCAACTTTGAGTTCAGAAGATTCAGATTTCTCGTCATTGTCCCTGAAACTAGGGAATATTTGTGGTTGGTGTAGACATCTACAGACACACAACAAGGAAATAAATAGTAATGGATCTTTTGTTCTGCATTAACGGAACATCAGATAAAACGTGTTTTTCTCCTTTTTTTTCTGGTGTAGCCTTTCCTCTTTCCTGCTAAAAAACTGTTTTAATAAGGATGCTCCCACAATACTGAAGATCTAGAGCAGAATGTGGCTGTAGATCCAGGACTGAGGCCTTAGATCCTGGACTGAGGCCGTAGATTCAGGACCCAGGCTGTAGACTCTGGACTTAGGCCAAAAATCCTGGACTGAGGCTGTAGATCCAGGACTCAGGCTCTAGATCCTGGACTGAGGCTGTAGATCCAGGACTCAGGCTCTAGATCCTGGACTGAGGCTGTAGATCCAGGACTCAGGCTCTAGATGGGTTAGGGTTAGGGTTATGTGTATGAAAGGCGCTCTACAAATAAACTTTGATTGATTGATTGATTGATAGATCCTGGACTGAGGCTGTAGATCCAGGACTCAGGCTCTAGATCCTGGACTGAGGCTGTGTGGTGGTTCCCAGGCGGGAAGGCCTATTGCTTTACAAATAGTTTAACCAATTATTTTCCCACTTGGATAAATTATGGTTAATTAACTAAAGTTTTCCACATTATGCCCCGGTCCCTGTTCTAACACCCGGGTCCCCTGTGTGCTCAGGCAGCGGTCCCCACATGCTTGACTCGGGCGGGGCCTGTTCCCAGGGGCTTTATTTCAAAGGCTGCATGGTTTGGTGTGGCGCAGTGCTGTTATTGGTGCTGTTACGAGTTTGTAAATAATGTATGAAGATAAGGAGAGGGATGGGGGGAGATAGGTGGGGGATTAAGGCTCATTACATTATCAAATGTTTGTAAAAGTAGAATTTATGATCATATTTCCCCAGTGTGGACAGAGAGGACCAGTAGTGAAAAACTAAAAGTGTCTGAGGAGTGGGCTGAAGTGACGAAGTGCCTCGTCACGATAGTGTTAATGCAGAACATACGTCCTCGTATGTTTACTTCAATAAAAAATACAAACAAAAGGTGCAAACAGGGGATAAAGTGCTATCGTGCAAATGGAGTGCTTCTCCAACTGCAGAGCCCAGACTGAGGATTCCCATGTCCTTTTATCTGGTGCAGATTGCTGGGTAAAACCAAGTTGGAAAAGCAGGAGTGTTAAAATATACCTAGGTTTTATAAAACAACTTAAAACTCACTAACTCACTAACATTCACAAAACCGCAACGGTGTTGCTTTGTGCTGCTCTATAGCGACGCCTGGTGGAACTTATAAATCATTGCATCCAACTCACTGATTCAATGACCTTTACATACTTGTTTGTACACAATATTACGTTACTGCATTTTCTGTGGTAATATTTGGCATTATATGTGAACATTAAAGTGAGCAAAAGGTCATTGAGAATTTTATTTATTTGTATATAAAAAAAAAATGT